TGTCTATTTTTCCCTATCTGTAAAGGAAGAATATTTTCTTCATCGTAGAAGGGAAAAAATTCCAGCAAGATTTGAAACGCAGCGTAAGAACTGTTTTTGTTATGTGATGTTGGAATAACTTGGTCAAGTGCAGTCCTCCATTCTTAACCCATTTAGAAAGTAGGGAAAGCAATTGCTTCTTTCGACATCTCTTTCTGCATTAATATTGACCTTGTTCTTACTTACTTTCAGATGTGATTTATGACATTAAACCTTGATTTTGGTCATTTTTCAAGATTTCCCATGTAGAAAGATGTCCAACACTTGCCCCCAGTGTTATCTCAAGCTGATGATTTTAGAAAAATATGTAAATTTTTCTGAAGGCTAATTTATTTTGACACCAGGCTTTTCTAAATGCGAGCTTTGCCAAACATGCATAGTCCTAACATAAATTTGGATGGACATCAAACTGCCCACATATGCAAGTAATATTTTGTTCTGCTCTCACCAGATTTAATGTTTAAGAAGTATACCTTGAGGGGAAATAAACTCCCCTGATTTCTGCATTATTCTAAATTATAACAGCATTTAGCAGCATCAATTATGCCTTTTTGGGAAGTTTTATGGAGTCATTTATGGAGAAAATCCTGAGACAGCTGGTGTTGGAGCAGTTTGCAGAGACCAAATGTAATATAAGGTGTTTTCTAAGCCATATTGGTTTAGAATTTCCCATGAGGGTTTTGCTTGGTGCCATTTTGTCTTTTTCGTGGCCTAGGCCTAGACGCCTCCCATAGACCTACTTGCTTTGTTGGAATCAGAACAAAAGTCCTAAGAGGATTGAGCCTTGGAAATCAGGATCAGACCACTGCTAATGATAGGCTGTGTGGAATGTGCTCTTCATTTGTGTTGGAGGCTCTCTGGTCAGGAAATGATTTACCTTCTTTCATAACCTTGGTCAGTTTTAATCAATGCATGGAAAACCAGATTTAAAGTTAAGATCCTTTGGTCAAATCCTTTTAGGCTGGAAAGAGCTAAAAATACTCTCCACTTTTACCTTTTATTGCACCACAGAAAGCATAAAATCAGACTTTTGCCTTATGTTTTAACAGTCTTCTGTTTCTGCAAGACACCTTGAATGCTCATGCAGGTAACCTTTTATGAAGGTTTTTTGGGAAAGTTGTTTTCCATTTAACTCAGTCCTTAGGAAGGAAATGAGCCAGTCTCTTACTTTGGCTATCCTCTGTAAATGAAGGAATTTAAAAGGAAGAGGTAGGAGCCTACAGTTTACTGTAGGGGCTGCTGCCTTATTTTGAATCTGCACAGGGTTCTGCTGGCAATCTAGTTCTTCCAGGGATGACATTGCTGTGTGTTCTTTCTGAGCTACTGAGGAGAACAAGCCGTCACAAGGAGTGACATGTTCTTGGACAAATTATTTCCTCCTCTGTAAAATGTGGATAAAACTATTCACTTTCCATGGAGGTTATAAGGATTGCATGAGATGTAAAAGGACTTCAGTCGTTCGTAGAACTTAGCTGCCCAGTATATACTATTTTCCTTTATTGAAATGTAAGGTGGGGAGGATTGGGGGAGATGTTTTTGAAAGGATACAAAATTTCAGTTAGGAGGAATAAATTCAAGAGGTTGATTGTACAACATTGTGGCTATAGTTAATAACAGTGTTTTGTATACTTGAATATTGCTGAGGGAGTAGGTTTTTAGCATTCTCACCACAAAAGAAAGTAT